GTATGTCCTATAAATTTTGAGAGTTTGTAGCATGGTACGTTAGTAGAAGCGGAAATTGGTCTGAGCGGTGTATTTTCTTTATGTATCTTCGGAAGTCCATATAATCTTGGTGCTGTAGCTGCAGTGCATGTCAATTGGTATTTTTTACGATTGTTAATATTTTTCTGTTTGTATAAGTCATTAACTATGTTGTTGTTTCTTCGTAGCAATTTTTGAGTTGGGTCCATTCGAATAGTTTTATAGGTATCCCGGTCGCTTAGAAGTCCTTTCATTTTTTCCTTATATTCCATCTTGTCCATCATTACCGTTCTATTTCCTTTATCAGAGTTTGTAATCACGACAGAGTCTTTGTGTTGTTTTATTAATCGTCTTGTATCTTCATATATTTTTAGTACGAATTTTTCTTTTGGATCATTCTTCAATTTATTTTTGAATGTGTTAATTTTAGAAGCTATATTGCACCTTGCACTGTCTTTTTATCTTTCGTCTTCCATTGTCTGTATTCCTTGCTCTATTTCTGCAATCAAGTGTACCGGTGAGAAAGTTTTCCTTGTTACTGGTAGCGCAAACTTTTTTCTTAATGAGAGTATCCATCTAGACCCTCTAGGAATATGGATTTTAGTTTTATTTATATACCAGTCTTCGTTAATTATAAACCCGAATCTTTCAAAATTTCTGTCAATTTGTTTTCGAAGTGTTTCTTTGAGACCCTTTTCTGTCCATGATGCGATATCTTTTGAAAATTGCTTTTGGTTCTCTGCTACCATTTTGAAATCTGGGTCTTGTAGTTTTTCGCGGAGATTTTTCTTTATGTGTTCCATATTAGTGCGGACTATTTTTATTTGAATATTCGCTTCTTTAATTTCCAAGTTCAAAATTTTCATCGTGAACTGTTGCTCAATTTTTGCCAATTCCTTTTTTGTAACGTCTAGTTGGAAACCATGTTAAATTTTATTTGTTTTACCTTTTATATGTGGTGGCGTTATCCCAAAATCTTTACATTGGAGTAGAAATTTTAGTCTTTGTTGTTGTTTTGCTAATTTCTTGTGGTTTTTGTTGTGTTGTTTGATAATGTAGCAGGTGTCCTCTCCATATTTAAGTCTAATGTGTTGGAAAAAATGCTTCATGTTTTGTTTTTTATGTTCTGTGTAATTATTTGATCGGGATTTTGCTCTCCGAAAGAATTTGGTTATTATGTTTCTAGGGCCAACTTTCAATTTCCTATAGGGTAGTTTAAGGAGCTTTTCGGCCGGTTTAATAAAAAGCAAACAATGTTTCTTTTCCCTCCTACGCGTTTCGATGTTTTTAACATTTTCCTCAGGGAGTCTGGTGTTTATTGAAAACAAAACATAAAAAACAAACAATTAGGCACATATGTATGTAAATAAAAATTATAACAAGTACAATACGTTGGTGTAACAATTTTTCCCGCAAAACATAACTTACATTGAACATCAAACAAAGAAAATATAACAAAAATACACACTTATTTCAACTTATTATATTTAAGTGTACTTCTTTTTTTTTTGCACTTTGCGGTTTTGTGGCTGAGTTTATGCACTCATACTGCCAGGGTGATTACGATTTGAGAGATTCTTCCTCTTAATTGGTTACGTGTTGCCTCTTGCGTATTATTTGCAATTTTTTAACTGATGTGCTTTTCAGCGCCAGCCGCCACCTGGAGAGCAATATTTATTGCTTAAACGAAAGCCTCATTGAAGCGTTTTGATTATGATATTGGATTGTGTTGAATTGATTGATATACACATCCGCCGAGTTTATCGCTAGTTTTCTGGCTCAAAACCTGTTTGTTGCGATGAGATTGATTTCCTCTGGCAGTTGATTTTTAGCGAAAAGGCTGTGTGAGCGTTGACAGCTTTTGATCAACTTGAACTTGACGATATGGTTCTTTCGTTGTTTTAAACGGCCGTTTAAATTTGTTATTTTTAGTTTTGGTTATAGTGATTGTTTATGTTTAGTTATCATATTATAATGTTATGTAGCATTTAAAAATGCTGTTTTTAGCACTGAAAAGTGCTCGACTACTTATTCTGTCTTCGTGTTGAGTTGGTTGTTTCTTGGTGAGTTGTTCTTTTTTACTTTAATTGTTTATATCATTTCTTTTTTTTACACTTTTTTTAGATGCTGATTTCAGCTTCCCTGATGAATTTACATAACTCTATAAGCGCTCTGGTGTCGCGTTTTTTGAGAATATGATGGAGGTTTTCAAATTCGTTAAAGATATCATATTTTTCCCTAATGGAGTTGTGTTTCCCACATTCAAAAATGGCATGGATGTAGTTGTCGGTTGCTTGGCAGCTCTGACAACGATCAGATTCACTTGCCCCAATTTTGTGTAAGTATACTCTGTCATAGGTGTGTCCCGTGAGTAGTCTGTTTATTGTCTTTATGTCTCTAGCCTCCATTTTGGACTTAATATACCACGGATCGCTTGTAATCTCTGGGAAGTATTCAGCAAACAGTTTTCCCTTCTCCTTTGCAGTTTGGCGGTACCTATCATTCCAATTTTTCCTTAGTTCCTCATTGATTTTTCTGATTGCTTNATCGCTTGTAATCTCTGGGAAGTATTCAGCAAACAGTTTGCCCTTCTCCCTTGCAGTTTGGCGGTACCTATCATTCCAATTTTTCCTTAGTTCCTCATTGATTTTTCTGATTGCTTCCTCAGGAGTTAGGCTCACATTTAAAGGAGCGCCAACTTCTAAGGCTGTTTTTGCCATTTCATCCACAGTCTCATTAATTTGTATTCCCACATGGCTCGGAGTCCATGTTAGGACACAGTTTATTCCCCCCTCACTAAGGCGTTTGTGAATGCGGGCTACTATGTAGTTATTGGACTTTTCTTTCTCTATCCAATTGCATGCTACTAAACTGTCAGTGAAAATTGCAATGTTCTTCAACCCGTCCTCAACAGCAATGTCCACTGCCTTGGCAATAGCCCATGCTTCTGCAAAGGCTGAGGAAGTTTTAAAGTTGATCTTGAAAAAAAATTTTTGATTATGTGTAACATTATATACTCCACATCCCATGGCTGTTTCGCCCCCTGAAGCATCAGTTGCAAAGATAGAAAATTTGTTGTTCTTGTAAAAGTCAATCTTTTGATTATATTCTGCCTTAAATTGTTCTTTGGTCGTATCTCTTTTCCTTAGCTCGGGTTTCGCCAATACTGTCATACCTACGCTTTTTTGGAAGGTGCAGTCTGTATCAATTTTATCAAAAGTATTTTTGAATTCGTGATATATTAAGCTATAACTGGATTCTGGGTAGAAATCCTTTTTTACGCTGTTGAAGAGAGTCGGATTGTCAAACATTATCTTCACTAACTCCCTACTAGTTAGATATTTACCCCTCTCCAGAGGTTCAAGTTCATTTGCTAAAACATATATAGTGTGAACTGGAGTTGAAGGTGTAAGGCCTAGACATCTACGTAAGGTGGCATTCTGAAAAGTCATAATTTTCTTGTTTATTGTTTTCGGTATCCTTGCAGCCGTGGTTCTTGCGACTTCGACCTTGGACCTAATGAAGCTTTTATATAGGGTAACAGCCACTTTGGGTGTTATACCTGTTTTCACTGGAGTAAGACATTTCAAAAAATTTGCGTTTTTCTTTGTGTCATTCACTAACCTTTGGAAGTGCGGGCCTACCGTCAGCGACGAGTTTATAGTTCTACCAATGAATTTAATTTGTCTCACTTGTTCAATAGGGATTTCATTTATTTTGATTTGTACATCTTGCCTATTACTTTTAGCGATGTACATTAGCTTAGTTTTTTGTACGTTGAACGACAAATTTAGTTTGGTACAAATATCATAAAATTGTTTGGCCTTCTGCTCAAGGTTTTGTCTCACTATGTCACAATTGCTCCCGTGCGATAGGATCAGAAAGTCATCTGCAAACTGATAGATGTCTGTCCCTGAGTCCCCAATACTGTGTAGTTCTTTTGTATATAAATTAAAGAGTAGCGGCGATAGACAGCTGCCCTGTGGCAGGCCATCTTCTATTATTATGGACTCCTTGCCCAGGTGCAGAATTCTTTTGCCAAAGAAATCAATAATCCATTTTATATACGTATCTGGTATTTCAAAGTTCCCTAGCAGGCTCTGCAGCTTACCTAGGGTAACACAGTTGTAGGCATTGTTTATGTCAAGCGTCAGAACTACTGCCTTTTTGCCTGCATGTTTTAAGCTGGCAACTTTGTGTAGAAAATCATTGATACACATTGCCGCAGACTTTCCTTTCCTATACGCATACGATCTCTCTGGATAAATATTTTTGTCATTTAAAAAGCCTTCCAGTCTGCCTTTAATCATGAGGTTTATAGACTTAACTAGCACCGATATAAGTGAAATTGGACGGAAATTCTTATAGTCACTTAGGTCTTTGTTTGCCTTAGGGATTGGGACGATTCTTACCTTACGCCAAGAGTCATTAATTTCACACTTGGTGAAGGCATCGTTTAGTGCAGTTAGTAAGNGTCATTAATTTCACACTTGGCGAAGGCATCATTTAGTGCAGTTAGTAAATTTTTTGTCGCTGTTTCCGGCAAGGATCGAAGCATTTCATATGTGATCTGATCACACCCACCCGCGGACCTTTTAGTCTTATTTTTAAGTACACCTTTGAGCTCGTTGTCCTCAAACATAGGAACTTTGTCTGCGCAAGCAACTTTCCGCTCTACTTTTTCTTTTGTATCGTCTTCATCACTCACCTGATTTTTTAGATGTTGAAGGTACAAAGCGTCATTGGTATCGTCCCACGGTTGCTTAGACTCAGTGGATCCGGCACCTTTCATATTTTTGACAAATTTCCATGCTTCTCTAGTATTTGGGTGACTATTGAGGAGGTTTAGGTTCTTGTTGTAACTTTCTTTTTGGGCTTCTTCTACCGCATTTTTCCAATATTCCTTGGCTTCAGTCGCAGCTCTTAAGTTTTGAGCAGTCGGGTATTTGTTGCACTTTTTTGTCGCGGCCAATTGCAGCCTAAAGAGCTTTTCCAACCCTTTGTGCCACCAGAACTTAGGGCGTCGAGAGTCTTTGATCTCAAAGGTGGACGCTTTAATTTCATTAGTTAAAGTGTTTTCAATTTGTTTGATGTCTGTGTCAAGCTGGACAGTGCCTAGATCGCTAAGCAATTTTCTTTTGGCAAGGAACGTGGATTTTTTTGTTTCAATCTGGTCGAAGCTTATTACAATTGGGTAATGGTGGCTGCCACCCAGTTGACAGGGGACCACCTCCCAGTTTGCCGATGATGTGATGTTCGTGAAGGTCAGATCCAAGACTGATCCCCTAGTAGCTTGCAGATCCGCTTTAAAGGTTATTGATCGATTGTTAAGACAGTAAAAGCTGGAGTTATTTATAAAGTTTTTCAGCCAGTTACCTCTGCTAGACTCAAAGAAATCGCCCCATTCATGTGCTCTCGCATTGAAATCCCCACATACCAATACATTTTTGTACACTTCCAATGTACCAAAAAGTTTATTGATTGTTTCTTTGAACTCTCCCACGCTTAAGGAGGGCTCAAAGTAGACCGCACATATCACTAAGTTCCGTGGAAGGTTGCATGTTTGCACAATGCATATATCGTGGCTTGAATCAAAAATAATCTTACGAAATTTGATGGATTTTCTTAAGCCGATGGCTACCCCACCATATCCATCATTTCTGTTTTTCTTGACCATATTAAAGTTTACAATGTTTTTCTTGAGATCATTTTCGTTCTGAGTAAAAGTTTCACTCAGGCAGAAAATGTCCACGTTATAGTTGTTTACATAATATTCAATATGGTTAATGTTTTTCCTAAGAGACTGACAGTTATGTTGTACTTCTGCTCGTCTGCTCGTCTGCTCTCCTATTGACCATTATTACTCTCCTGTATGCGCAATTTATATTGTCGACGTCTTCCTTAAAATTCATTGCATTCTGTATTTTTTGTTGTATTCGCAAACTTTCTGTTCTCCACATCTAATATTTTCGCGTTTTCAAAGTCTGCTGTATGCCCGCTATTCGTTAAATGTTGTGCTTATGCAGTCGTTGTCTTCTTATTTCTTGCGTCGGTTTTATGTTCGCTTATTCCGAGAGCGCGCTTCGTTGTGCCTATGTATATTTTATTGCATGCTTCGCTAGCTTAACCATTGCATTTGATTTCGTAAACCACGTTATGTTGTTTTTCTTTGTTTATTTCGTCTTTTGTTTTGCTAAAAATTCTATTGATCGTTCTATGTGGTTTATGTGCAAATGTTATGTTTTCGTTTTGGATGCTTTTTCGTATTGTTTTACTATCCGTTAATCCTTGTATATATGTGACGCCTGTGTATCTTTTGTTGTTTGTAGTTTCGGGTTGAGTGTTGAAATGCGCTGCTTTTGGCTTGTTTTTCGCTGTTGCTATCAACCTCTCAACAGCTTTGTGTGGATACCCGTTTTTATGTAATATGTTTCTAATTTTCCTGCTGTTGTCTTTTCTGAATTCCTGGTCACTTAAGGCGTAGATGTTCTTAATGAGGTTGATGGCTGTATTCTTCTTTTGCGTCCACGGATGGTTGGAATGATAATTGATCATTCTGGAGGATGCTACAGATTTCGCATACCAATTCGTTTTTATTATATTATTTGAACGGTGAATTTCTACGTCTAGGAAGGCTAACTTGTTTCCGTCTTCTACGGATTTCGTCTTTTTCAATCCTAATATTTTTTAATCTGTCTTTAAGTTGGAACGAATTGTTGACATTGTATTCGTGGGAAACGATTTCCTTAAGTGTATGTCCTATAAATTTTTGAGAGTTTGTAGCATGGTACG